GTTTAAATTATATATATCTAGTACATACAGAGCTTTTCTGTGGGTGTTTTTTTTTTTCCTTTGGCAAGATAGGAATATGTACATCATTATTTGGTTTGTATTTTAAAAACTAGAAGTGCTGGCTACGTTTCTCTTTAATTATATAAGCTTTTAAGCATCAAAAATATGGTCTGTATTTTGTACTGTGTTCTCGTACCTTACTTTATGCTGAGGCCTATGTAAGAAAGTAGGGAAGGGGTGCTGGGTTGAGGTACTGCAAGATGCTGAAGACAAAGACAGGATGTGTTAACATGTTGCAAGAGGTTAAAAGAGGCTGGTAAGGGGATTCAAGAATGCCAGTGATGTAGTCTGGGCTGCAGAAAAATAGGTAGATTTTTGGCAAGAGACTTTTGCCTATGTTTGAAATTTGGAATTAACTGATTTATAGAGAGGCTGCAGAGGTCACTAGCAATAATTGAAGCAGTAGATAACTATGAAATGGGTAAATAACATCAGGAGGTGGGCAAGGATGTTAAATATTTTTCTTAGGGATGCTGTAGGGGGAGAAAAAAAAAAAGGTAATATTTAACATCCAGAGGGCAGTGGAACAATAGATGGGATTGTATAAAAAGTCTGAGGCTACAAGCCTAAATGATCAAAAAGATAGTAGAGTTGTTGACTGTGAGAAAGACTGGAGAAGGCATTAAGACCTCCCAGATTTTTCTCATTTTCACTGATGGAGTTGGTCAGTTCTGTGCTTCCAGCGAAGTGGAATAGTTTTCCTTTGGCTTTTATTAGTTGTTATAATTCATAGTGTCAGTCTCTAGTGTTGTGTCTCTAGTCTGTGGGTGTTGGGATGATGCTTGAAGCCTTCTTAGGTTGAAAGTGTCTCCTCTGGGTCAATTCCAGTGCAGAGAGAGCGTGCTTTTTTGTTACTTGGATATGAGCTACACTGTGCATCTTCTGTAGATTTCGGGCCTGTCAGTCAGCACACTTTATGAGTGTGCTTGAAAAAACAGAAAGTTTCATTTAATGTGCGCTTTTTGTTGTGACTTTTTCGAACACCGGCAATAAATTGTAGTCTTCTGCGTCAGGCAATGTGCTCTTGAGCTGTGGTATGTAAGGAACTGTAAAGGTAAAATCTCGCTGCTTCAGTTACAGTGTTTGAGCTCATTAAAACAAATACAAATGTTAATTGGGAAATGACTGCATAATATCCTAATTCCTATTTTGTCACAGCCTCATGTAGCACAAGTGTCTTAGCCAGAAGTGAACATTCAAAGGATAAATTGGTTACTACAGATATATTTATTGTTTTTATAAAAATATTTTTTATTTATTTTATTTGAGGCAGAGATGGTATGCCTTTTTTTCTTTTCCGGATTATGGCTCGCTTATCATACCCATTGGAGCCAGCCAGGGCATTCCAGTTTCCAGACTGTCTCCCCCAGAGCCTACAGGGAAGGCTTGTTTACAGCTTTGACTTTACCTAACTTCTGATCTGTTGCAACATGATGTTAATAGAAGTAGGATTAGATTATTTATGCATAAGGTAATATAATTTGATGATACAGCAGTGTTGGTTTGGGCTGTATTGGTGTGAAAGAGAGAGTATGATGCTTGCTGGGGTTTTGCAGTTGTTTCTTCAAAATGTGTGCATATTGGGAGGAGTGCCTCATTTTAAGGTGGACATGAGTAGGAAATGGGATTTCTGTGTCACTGTGAATTATCGGTGCCATCTGAATAGAGAGGGAGAAGGCTTGTTGTCATGACAGCAAAAGATGGTGAGGTGTTTACTTGAGAGTGAGTTCTGCCCAAGCATTCACATCTAGCCGTGTCTGAAGATCAGTGTTTGAAGAACTCTTCTTAGGAGAACCTGGTCCTTCTTTAAAATGTTTGCTGTATTTCCCCGGGTATATGGAAGATGACTTTTTGAAAGCATAGCTCAGAACCTAGTGTACGCTTTTATTTAGTTCAGTAATGGGAATCCTACCTAGACTACAAATAGCAGCATATGGAAAAACCAGCCAGTCAACTATCTGCTGTTCGTATAAAAGGAGTTTGTAGCGAAGAGACTTCCTTTTAAAATGAATCATATGGTAACTCACTTTTATAATCCTTTAATGTCTTTTCAGCTTTAAAAGGTATTTAGATTTAGGAGCATGCTTTGTGATATTAATTTTATCTCACTGAGCTTTCTTTCTTGTATAAATCTGTGCTGGGGTAGAGGAGATTATTAATTCTTTGGAAAAATTGTGTGCCTTTTACACAATGTGTATTGAAAAAATAAAGTGTTTGATATTCAAATGAGGCAAACTATTGCTTTTTCTGAGTAAATATACTATGCATAAAAAGAACTGTTTGAGTGGAAAATACCATCAAATAGATGCTTGGCTGCTTCTTTTAGTAGTTATCTTCCAGTATACTTTCAAATGCTTGCTGTCCAGAAAGGTCTTCATTACCTAGCTAAGCATATGAAGAAAGTGCATGTGGTTGTGTTGACTGTTCTTATACTGTCAAAGAGATGCATGAGCTGAAATGTCTGGTAATATTATTGGAATTTCTTCACTCAGGGGTTTGGCTTTGATGAGTAGGTAAGACGTATAATGAAAATGGATTATTTTATTTTAAATAGTTGTATTTCTGCAAGTGCATAATGGTAATTAGGAAAGCTAGAGGCAGTCAGATGGGAGTTGCATGGGGGGAAGTTGATCAGTGCTTAAGAAGGACTTGCAGTTTTTACACAACAGGAAAATCCAGCTGAGTCTTTTTTTTTTTTTTTTACATATCCAGTGCTGTTCATTGAAATTTAAATTAAAAATGAAGAAGTTTGGGTATACATCTGAAATCTGCTTTGATTTTTGTGGTACTGCCGCTAGTCCTATTGTGTTGTGGTCCAGGGGTTGTATTATAGTAATTGTCAGTTAAAAACAATATTGGTAACAGAAAGAAATTGGCACTTTATGAGGCAGGTCACAATCTCGAAAAAACAAATCTTTAGTCAGTGCTCTAAGCTATCTGTCTATGTTTGTCTCTTAAATATTTCCGTAGTCCTTTAACCAAAAGAAGAATATGTTACTTTGAATTATGCAGCATGGAAAATGTCACCTTTTTACTGTTTTCAACTAGCAATAAGAGGTCAAAGATTGTTGTGAAAGGCTCCTTAAGTTAATAACAAGGGCAATGTCAGTGGTGGTGCAGAAAGCAACTGGAATAAGACCAGAAAGACAAGTAACACGGCTGGATTTGTCAGACATTTGTAAACATCAATGGCAAAACATATATTAATAATCTGTTTTTCTTGCAAGCTTAAAAATTGCAAACTTGTGCCAGTTTTTTGTATCACTCTTCTAGTGTCATACCTGATGAGTTATAGTTAACTCATTTCCTGTGTCAACAAGACCAACTGGCTGTGTTGGTAATTTGCCACATGTCTAGCGCTGACAGTCCCTCATCCTTCCTCCTCACTGGCTTGATTTGTTAGCTCAGATTGTTAAGTCTTATCATAAATTGGTTGTATAAGACTGCAACCAGCCTCTGGTGTCACTGTCCGAAGGCTGCTCTTTTTTATTGGGTCTGGGGACCTCAGGAATACAAACATGCATTTCCTTGCTTGTAGTCTGCAACTCAGCTAGTCTGAATTCTCTTAAAAACATTAGGTTTTGCCAGTAGTCAGACAGTGGCTGCCTATAGGTACATTCATCTACATAATCTTGAGGCTGTTTGAGAGAATGCAGAAAAATTACTGGGCTTATGCTGTCCAGTTTATGTCCCTACAATGATCCTGTCTTCCCTGCACATCCACTTTAGTTTCTTATGTCAGACAAGCTGGGGACTGGTGCATGGTCCTTTCCATTCCCGCTTCTCTCCTTAAGCAGGAACAAGGAAGGCCAGAGGGAGCAGGGTAGGAGGGCACTGAAGAGAGAGCAAAGAGATAGTAGTGTGGGGAGGTGTGAGCAGGATGCCAAGGTGGGAATGACAAGGCTTGTCTGCTCTGGCCATGAGACGTGGGTGGTGCAGTGGAAATTTGAATCCTGTGTGTTCTTCCTAGAGTCCTTGGGAGCTGGGAAGAGACTAGGAGCTTCTGACATGAACTTCTGCTTGCATTAGCCACATGCCTATGAAGTACTGCTAAATAGTAATTCTTTTAGTATATAGCTTGTGAATTTTATGCATGAAAATATTGTAATCATGAGTAATTTTGTCTCAAATCTTCAGATAAAGTCAGATAGTTCAGTTTATGAATTGACGGAATGTCTTGTAACTCTGACGTCCTCTCTGTAGGATTTTCTATACTGTTTCCTGTTCTAATCTCCTCCGGGATTTCTCTTCTTACTGTATTTTCGGTTCCACGAGTGTGTAATTTGGAGAGTAACCTGTGTATTGACCAGCTGGTACTAAGCCAGACATCATCTTTCGTAGTCCTCTGGAGCCTACCTTGGATCTCTTTTGCTTAGAAGTTGCTCCATTGATTGTAAATGTGCTAAATGGCAGAAATTCTGGAGCAGGGAGCATCTTTGTTCTCTCTGGTGATAGTAAGTCTGCAAAGCTGAGCAAGAAGAAACATATCTGATGTATTGACCTGTGATTTCTGGTATGCTCTCTGTGCAAAAGACAGATAGGCACAAAGTCAGTTCCTCTTGCTCTGCAGTGCTTAAAGCTTTCAAAAGCCAACAGAGAAAATAACAGCTGTGGTGTTGGAGAGTAAGGAAAATGAGCCTCGTTCTTTCCCTTCTCAGCCAGGGGTAGCTGCAATTTAAAATACACTGTTTACCATTACTCATAAGACATGGCCAGGTCAAGTACCAGAGTGTTTGTACCTGTACATAGATTGTATTTGGTGTTAATCCTTCCTACTGCTCACATCAAATGTTTAATTTTATTTGATCTGTATGCATGAGTAAGTTGACAAGTAAAAATTAAAGGATTGCTGAGGGTCACAGAAAAGGAGCATATTAAGTATATCGGGGAAGTTAGCTGTGTGAATAAGGGATCCTTCACTGTCTCTCTTTGCCTTGCAGGAAGAATGCAAACACCAGAGCGTGATCATTTCCTCCAGGCTTATATTCCTTTTTTGCCTCCTTTTTTTCCTGCTGTGTTTCCTGCTTTTTCCCCAAAAGTCATTTCTAGCTCAAATTTTCTCCTAACTTAAGTCACTCATGTTCTCTATGCAATTCAGGCATGTGGTTCCTATGATGATCCAGTACTGCTAAAGCCGCTGGTTATGGGAAGTCTGTTGATTGTATTTGGGCCATTTTATATGACCCTTGTCTTTGAAGAAATGCCAACCATAAATTAGGTATAAATGCAGCAGAAACATTATAGAAATAAGATGTTAGAATATGAAAGATTCATGAGGGAACTGATGGGAGAGGAGAAATTTGCTCAGAGCTTGCAGCTGTTTATTGACTAGTTTGGTTTAAGACTTGTCTGTGCATGTCATTGGCAAAAATAAAAACTCTAGCTCAGACAAGAGCCTGACCTCAGCAAATCAGCTGCTGGATCTGCTCCTCAGTTATTGTAATGAAAATAAGCACCTCTTAAAAATAATGTATAAAGTGTACATTTGTAAAGCATATGGAATATTTAGGTTGCCTGCAATTGCATTTCAGCCCAAAGAGACTTTTCTCTTTGCAAGCCCAGCATCTAGTTTAACAAGTCCTTTCCAATGGATATTTTGACTGGCTCAAATGCATTTATTCAATTTGAATATGATTAACCTTAGGCTTTAAGAAGTCATCATCCAACATCTCCCATGAGATACTTGCCAAGAAATTTTCAGAAGAGTTGTGAGGCCTCATGTGCTTGTGCAGCAATGTTACCCTTGCTTTTGGAGGCTGAACTCTTTTAAAAAGCTTGATCTGCAAGCTCCGTTTTAATGGAGGTGTCTTCGCACTTCACTATAGCAGAAGTTTGAACGTTCAATGTTATTCACTAATAACCCATTCTGTGTCAACTAAATGAACTATACTTACGATCATTGCCATGGGAAGATGCATAATATTATGTTCTAAATTTGGTCCTGGTTGTGGAAAGAGCTCCCAGGGCATAGCTCCTTCCAAAACAGGAAATCCCCAGAGCAGCAGAGCCCATGAATCCTGGTTTTCCACAGTGCAGTTCTGTATGGATTCTCTGCTGTTTTAATAAATGGCCAATACATGTTGCAACCTAATTTATACTTCTCTTCTTTAACTGACTTTTCACAAAATGCCTAGCCACTTTAAATCTTTGAGATTTCCTAATAACTCTGCAGGACTGCTTCCAGTTGGCCAAAGGTTTCATAGATTATGAAAGGGAGAAACATTACAGTTGTGCATCTCACATTTCTTTAAGGAGCTAAGCTAGAAATGCATTTCATAAGGTTTACAGATTCTCCTGATGTGCTTTTGTACATACTTGGAATGGCTTTAAACCAGAGGGCTTTTTCTTTATGGGGATGCATTTTGGAAATCACTATTTTTTTATCAGAATATTTTTTCCCTTTGCAATCAGATGTGCTTTTGCCATCTACCTATGGTACAAGTAATGACACTAATTTTAAGTGTGTTTGAAAAAAAAAAATCAAGGGTTGCACTAGGCTGGTGCAAAGTGATGGATTTTTAGATACTAGCCAACCTGGAAGGATCTCTGGCTGGAATTCAGGTGTTGGGCAGAAACACCTCTGTATTGTAAGCCAAAAGACCCTTGAAGGGCTGAGCAGTAAGATGAATAGGACTAATGACAGTGCAATGAGGTATGTCACTTGAGGGAACATTAAAGTAGATTTAACTTTTGCTATCCAGAGCAAAAGTTGCTTCTGATAGCAAACTTTTACCAACTAACAGCATAGGAATCCTGTTGTAAGGGTGATCACTTCTCTTCAAAAAGATAGTTAGAGTGATATAAAACTAAATCAAGCAATTCTCCCAGACTCCATTTCAATTAGATGCCCAGTTACTCTGATGTATCCTCACCCTCAAATGCAACTCCTTTTTTGCCATGAAGCTAAGGCGCACAATTTTGACCCAGGTTGGCCTCGCAAGAGCTCAGTTCTTTATGCCACCACAACCGTTACTGAAAAGTTTTGTACATTTAACACATTCTTCCTTTTTCCCTAGAGCAATTTTGTTCATTCTTTGGTTTTAAAAATAGGTTGCTTCTGCTACTATTTGAGGAGGGGAAGAGTATGAAAAAGGTTTCTTAGTTTGGTGAATTTGAAAGGAGACCACCCAGCTGCCAGTACCTGCTAATTATTTCTCCTTATACTGTCAATGGTATTTTATGGATACCCTTCACCCCATTCACTCTGGATTTTGTATTTTCAAAATTTCAAGATCTACAAAGAAATACAATCAGACATGTAATTTCCCTTCTTTTTTTTTTTTTTTTTGGCATTCAGGTTATTCCGAAGGACTACAAAACTATGACTGCTCTGGCAAAGGCCATTTCCAAGAATGTGCTCTTTGCTCATCTTGATGACAATGAACGAAGGTATGAGGTGTTTGATCATAGAATCATAGAATGCTTAAGGTTGGAAGGGACCTCTAGAGATCATCTAGTCCAACCCTCCTGCACATGCACGGTCACCTAGAGCACGGTCACCTAGAACCCGTGTCCAAGCGGGTTTTGAAGATTTAAATAATCTTGTAGCTTGACCTGGAGACAAGAAATTGTAATAAATTTTAGTTTAGAAAGCTCCTCAGGGATCATAACTACTCTCACTGATGTGTTTGAGTCATGCTAGATGCCCACCTCAGCACTTATGATGGGGAGTAGAATCACAAGCGTAAAAAAAATGGTACTTAACTGGTTAAAGGAATCTCATCTCAGCACTATCTGTAGTTATTGCTGAGACCTCCAGTAAGACAGGTCAAATACTGGAAGAGAGGGAAACAAAAAGCATAATATCTATAAAGGGGTAAAAGAGAATTACAGATAATTCTCTTGTTTTGCTCATTAAACAACTTCTGGAACAAGCAAATTATGTTTAAGCACCTGAAAGAGACCAAGAAGTTCAGTAACAGAACTTTCAGAAACTTGGAAATATCTTTCTGCAGCAGAAGAGCAAATCTTGCAGATGGGGAATGCGCAATGGAGGCCAAACAAGTTGTCTTTAGTGAGGTTTTTGACATTAATATTTATGACAGTTACTGAACAATCTAGGGAAACATGATTTGAATGAAAGTACTGTGGAATCTATGCAAAACTGATTGGATAGCTGTACACAAGGAACTATCAATGGCCTGTTATTGTATTGGAAAGTTATATTAAGATGGTGTTTGTTTGAAGTCTCTCTTTTATTAATTATTTTTAGTAATGGTCTCAACGGTAGCATAGAGTGTGGTTGTTGAATTTGTTGATGACAAAAAGTTGAGAATATTGGGAGGAGACAAGACAAAAATGCAGAATTATATTTACAAATTGGACACATGATCCAGTAAAAATAGGATGGATTGTTGCTGCGCCAAGAACAGAGAGCTATACTTAGGCAGGAAGAACACTTGTATAACTGTAAGAAACAACAGTTTTGATAGTTATTTGAAAAAGGATGCAGAGTTTATTGTGGTTCATGGTCTGAACGTTAGTCGCTAATGTCAGTCTGTTGTGAAAAAGGCTAACATTTTACTGGAGTGACTAAACAGAAGAACATGCAAGACATGAGAAATGATCTCTCATTTCTGGCTGGCTCTGGAAAGATTTCAGCTGGAACACAGTGTCCCATTTGGGACACTGCACTTCAAGAAAAAACTGTTGGAGGAAGTTCAGAAAAGAGCAAAGGGAATGATAACAGATCTAGGTAACATGACCTCTGAAGAGAGAATGGGATTGGTTGGCCTGCGAAAGGAAAGTCAGGAGCAGAGGGACATCATAATGACTTATAGTTGTGTATGAATAATGGTAAATGAAAAGAACGGAATAATCTCCTCTTAGTGCCAAGGTTGAGTAGGGTAAAGAACAACAAATTTAAATGCGCTAAGAAAGGCTCAAGTCAGATACTAGGAAACTCCCTCTCAATGCTTAGGTAGCTCATGGAATCTCCACCACTTGAGGGCTTTGGGAAAAGATTAGACATTCTGCTGAGAATGACATAAGTAGCATTGGTCCTGCCTTGCAGTAGAGGAATGGTGGTGTTCTGAGGTTCTTCCCAACCCTGCTTTTCAGGGCTTCTGTGAATACAAAGAGCAAAGATTTTGTCTACACTGATATCTTAGTGGCCTAACATGAGCTATATAATCCTTCCATGGGGCTATTCATATGCTTTCAGTCAAGCATGTTCTGAAGTATGCAAATTTTGTTCCCTCATGTGGGCATTTACACAGTCTAATTATTTCAAAATCCTAATTATTATGATATCCCATTAACATGCAGATTACTGGAGTAATTAGAAGGGTATTAACATCCCACACTTTTTTTCTAGTTTTTTCACCCACAACAGAATTCTTACACAGCACTGCTGTAAATTTTATCTGTACTGTTGGGATGGTAACATGATAAGCAAGGGAAGAATAGATTGTTCTTGGTGGATATATCATCAAAGCAGGGTGAGAAAGAAAGGGAAGGAGAAATGCTTTCTCTTGCACTGCGTTGCCTGTGCATCATAGTTGTGATGGTCTCTGCAGCATTTACCCTGTCTCATTCCTTCCATCAGTCAGATACTGTGTTATGGATGTGTGAGGGAAGGGAAAGGATGTGTGTAGTGTCCTGTATGTGCTGTAGAAGGGATGCAGATTATTTGCTTTTGTGGTCCTCAAACTATTGCTAGGCCACGTGTCTGCTACCTCTGCCGTTGAAAGCTTTGGAAGGCTCTTAGTTTCTGGATTCTCCAGTGGGCGTATTCAGCTTTATACCCTCTTCCCCTTGCTCCATGATATGCTTAAATGCCACATTTAAGCCTGATAACAAGCAGAGCAAGCTGTTTAACCACACTGGAAGGAAAAAGGAACTCGCAGTAAGGCCCAGGCATCCTGCTTTTGCAGGCAGGGTTACAGTGAGCAATGAAATTCTCAGATCTTAGTGAACTCACTCTTGACCTCATCCTACTGCCTTGTCTGGTCTTTTTTGGCAGTGGGGTGGCAGAGAGTCCTGTGATCAATTCCAGTTGGCATCTGGTTGATGCAGATATATAGCTCAGCAAATAATCGGTGTCTACTTTTATTTGGTGTTCCCTATGTACTGTCTTGATGGAATGATTGAAAACCTGATGAGAGTATTTTGTTTTCTGTGCTGCAGTGGTGCTTTTTTAAAATTATATTGCTACTTCATTTAATTTCATGGTCAACCATTCTTTAAGATATAGACAATACTCAGTTGGGGTGAGGATGGAGTAGCAGGACTTAAATGGCATCCACTATAAATGAGGAATTATAATGGATTCTGTTCTCTGAAAAGATGCTTGCATGGCTGTGTAGTTCATGACACTTATATTGCATTTCTGCTTGACAGTTGTGAACATCCTTATGTTTGGCAAAAGCACTTAGTTATCAAGGCAGTGTATGTAATACATTATCTCTACATCAGATACTTCATAACGTTGATTAACTGCACGAGAGGTCATGCTAAAGTTAATGTAAATTAGTATCTGTTTGCACCAGTGTTTGCAATAGTTTGCAATCTTATTTGAATCAATCTTATTTTGGATATCATCTTTTCATGGTACAATGCTTAAAGAAGGATGTGCCATTTATCATACACACATTCAGAATTTGATGTAAAATTATGCAGAAAAAGACCACAAAAGAGCAAGTGTGACTTTGTTGGTACTTAAAGCTACAGATCTGTTCTATCATGCAACTATTATCAAAATGTTCTTTTCAAGAGTACCGAATAGTGTAAAGGATAACACAGCTCTGAAAAGTGATGTAGAAGTTGGCTGTACTCTGTTTGGCCCTTTGCATTGATTTCAATCTTGGTCAAAGTCTGGAGTAATGTCCTGATTTTCTCCAAGTCAGTGGCACAGTGCCCATAATCTTGAGTGGGAATGTGCTTTTAACTCGGAAAGGGCAGTTGTACTCACTGGCAGCGTGAAGGATGCATGGCTTTGAACTTCTTGCACACAGGCATCTGATGTATGTTTTATGTGCGTCTTCCTTTGCCTACGGCTGGTCTGTGCACATGCATGATGACCTCAAAATCTCCAGTTTATATTAATATGTCACAGACTCATTATCCAGTATATTTTGAATTTGTGAGAAATAAAGCAAAAAGTTAAAAGCAATACCAGGCCTTCACAAAACTCATTTGTTACTCTGCTTCAGAAGGTTCTTTGACTGTGTATTAGAATATTGCACATCTAACAAAAGCACTGGTCTGTACTACAGAAATTCTGTGAAAAGTCATAGGGTGGTGTCTAACGTGAGATCTTGGGGAGCTGTAGGGAAGAGAGGAATGTTTTGAGGGCGAAGGGCTAAGTAGATTAAATAGCTTGAAGAGCTGCAGAGAGCACATTGAAATGTGTCGGTGTGGCTGTCTTACAGGCTTGTCCTAATTTTTTACCTTGTTATTTGTCCAAACTCAGTCTCGTTATGGAAGCCTCCTGCCTGGGGTTATGTGTGTACGTACACTTGGTTTGGGTTTGCTTCCCTAGCTGGGATATGTGGTGAAGTTTTGTGGCCCTTTGGCTTTGTTTCAGGCTTTGATATACCTGTTTTATAGTTGAGATTTATCTAATGCCTGGGAGCTGAGCTTGGTTTTGGTAATTCTGTCATGCTGCAGATATGCTGCATAGGCACGTGCACTTTTTCCTCTCCTTCTCTCCCTGACTCCACATGGCAACTTAGCTCTCTTGACGTAATTTTGTGTCTCTTCCGCTTCATGACTTCGCTCAAAAACTCTTAGAAGAGATTTCTTGAAGAGTTTCGTTAGCTTGGAAGTGAACCATGTTGGTTAAACTCAGATATAAGTGCAGAAAGGTTTTTTGGAAAAGCACAATGGTGTGAAAACATCGTGCAGAAGCTGTGGAGGTGAGGATCAGCAGGACAGATTTCCAAGGTAGAGAGTACTCTAAAACCCTGCTAGTTACAATCACTGCAAGATGGGCCACTTTGTGCCTGCTTGGTCCTGACTCAATGCTCTCACAAACCTCATTTACACACATTTATGCACAGTCCTTCAAAACAGATTCTCTTGGGACAGCTCTGAAGGAGATGCTTGCAGTACAGAACAACGTGTGGTTCAGATGACAGTGCTGTGCAGGATGTGCACTCGGAGAAACTAGGAATTGTTCTGCAGCCCATTCAAGGATGAACAGCCTCGAGGAAATGTCGGTGGCGCTGGACCTACAGCCAGGTAAGATGTGTTTGTGCTGTCTTTCATTATGCTGGGCAAAAGTATAATGGCAGCTTTAACTGTGAGAGATTTTTGCATTATAAATATCGTCTTAGTTTTTATAGATTATGTTCCTTGCAACAAATTGTCTTTAACTTCAGTTAGATTCAAAAAACACCTTGTTTTTCAGCATTCCCTTTCTTCATTTCGCCTGTGATCCCACATGA